GACTCGCTACCAAGTAGACACTCAGAGCACTCCTACAGAGGGGAAGCTACGTCCAGGAACCCATCTTCGCGAAGGCCTAGAGAATTATCTCAAAACTCAAGGAAGGATTCAAGATCGTATCGGGATCAATCGCCTGCGCGAAGCTCATCTTACAGATCATCCTATAGAAACTCAAGTCGTCATGCATCCATAGAGTGAGAGATGTCTAAATCAGAGGATGAAGGTGAAGGCATATTCTCCGATACTCCTGGATCGCCAATGGCTTGGACTTATCATCACCTTCTAAGGACACAGATGAGGCATTTACCTACAAGATGTCCAACGATGATTTCGACACGCTCACCTTTCCACCAATCGACCCGATCTCTCAAGTACCAAACAACCTCAGCGTAGCTTTTGATAAAGCCACTAAGTCGCAGAATCAGCACATTCCGATGTTCAACGCCTCGAAAAACACCCTCTACATAGGATGGAACCCTTCCCGAAGGCTCCAGAGGTTGATGATGACAACAAGATTATCACCAACTCCCATCAGAGAACTTACAAGATTGTGGATAAGAAGTTAGCGCAGCTGGATACAACCACCAGACATACTATCTTTGGATTAGCCAGATCGAGGGCTATCAACGAAACACTCATCTCGAAGTTCAAGAATTCCTCCGCCGAAGAAGACCGGATGATATACTCCGCTCTACTAATGCAGAAGAGGGACCATCAGTTTATGTCGGAGCACCAAGCATCCACATCAGCGGGCTCGGCTCTCCTGAGAAGACAAGGATTATTGTCAGTATGCATTTGGAGTGAACGCTTCACCAAGTCCTTATACAGAGCCCCATGGTCTTCGGAGGAGGAATTGAAGAAGTCGCCAGAGAAGTCTCTCACGACTCAAGGGAGGTTATGATGATTAAATCCAACATCCCAACGCTACTCCAATAAATCTAAGTTTGCAGGAGTCCAGAGAGCCAGAAAAAAGAAGAATTCCAGCATGAAAGGAGGAAGAGGCTCCTTTCATCGCCCAACCGGAGCTCCTAGAGGTAACCCCGGAAGAGGCCGAGCACCTAGGGGTGCAAGAGGAATCAAGCGCTGAAGGCCAGGTTCGGAACGACTGGAGTCTTCCACCCCCAGCCGTTCCTGTACAACCTTCGACAGTGGGTGGACGTCTTCAACGGTACTGGGAGAATTGGGGAATACTTCAAGACGACTACGTATCACAGATACTGCGCAGAGGATATAATACAGTTGGAAGCTACTCCGCCGCTCACAAGGAACCCGATGGCCTTCAACTATGCAGCCGACCAGATAGAGAAACTGGACAATGCTATCAAGACCCTACTCGACAAAGAGGCAGTAGAAGAGATAGATCAAGATCTCATCACGCCCGGGTTTTAGTCCCCAATTTTCCTGGTACCGAAGAAGAATTCCAAGGAGAAGTTTCGGCTCATCTACAACATGAGGAAGTTCAACTGGGAGTATCTACGCAGTCCAGCAAAATTCAAGATGATACATCTTCCTCAGCTCCGACATCTCGTTCGTCCATCAGACTACCTCGCCAGCATAGATCTGCAAGGTTCGTACCTCCACATCCCGATACATCCAGACTCAAGGAAATACCTACGATTCCTTTTCAACGGACATCACTTCCAGTGGAAGGTTCTACCGTCTGGAATATCGTTGGCCCCCAGGTTGTTTACTCGAGTGGCCAAGCCCATCGTCACATATCTACATCATCGAGGTCTACGCAGTGCTTTCTACCTGGAAGAAGGGATTCAAGCTCATCACGATCCCAGTCAACTCAGACTGCAACTAGACTTCACCATCAGGCTGCTCACTCAACTAGGATGGCTAGTGAATCTCCTCAAGTCAGAACTGGAGCCGAAACAAGATCTGCAATTTGTAGGAATTCGACTCATCACACCAGTGAATCGCATAGTCGTTCCAGAGGATCGTTGGGTCAAGATACAACAGATGATATCTCAAGCATTGCTCTCTCCGTTGACACTACGTGCTTGGCAAAGCATGCTTGGTCTACTCACCTCAGCTCAAGACATGATTCGCAGAGGGTGATTACAGTTGTGCCCACTACAAGTATTTGTGTACGCCCACCTAGACAGTCTAGATCCGTTAATACTACCGGACAGCCTGAAACCATATCTCCTATGGTGGACTCGGAAGTCGAACGTTTGCGGAGGAACCTTTTTGTCAGAGCCGGTTTGCAACACTCATCTCTACATGGATGCCTCCCTACAAGGATGGGGTGCGCACTTCAACAACGAAGTGGCAGCAGGGAAGTGGTCGAGTCAGGATCAGAAGTCACACATCAATCTGTTGGAGATGAAAGCAGTAATCAACACTTTACAACATTGGTCCAGCGTACTTAAGAACGCATGACTTATGGTACACACGGACAACTCCACAGTGGCGTTTTACATCAACAAACAAGGGTCAACAAGATCAAAAAGTCTGCTACAACTCAGCTTTCTCCTGTTCAGCATAGTCGACGACCTGAACATCTACATGAAGGCATGCCACATTCCAGGAGCAAAGAATGTCATAGCAGACGCCCTATCTCGTCCACTACAACCATCCCCGACGGAATGGATGTTGCATCCAGAAGCATTCCAGTTCATCAGACAGACTATAGGATCCCCAACGGTCGTGTCACCGATTCCAGATCCTCAGGCATGGGCAACGGACGCTCTAAGCATCTCATGGGAAGGACTAAACGCTTACGCGTTTCCGCCTCCTGCACTGCTACCACAAGTACTACAGAAAATCAAGCAGACGACTACGTTGCAACTGAGTTTGGTCGCACCCTACTGGCCAGCGAGGGTATGGTTTCTCGTCCTCATACAAGAACTCGGAAGTCCAGCCCTGAAACTACCAGAGTGGTCGAACCTACTCGTCCATCCACACACCAAGCAAGCTCACGGGAACCCGACACTGTTCCAGCTACACGTGTGGAGCGTATTAAAGCTTGCCTGAAGACTAGAGGGTACTCATGCCAGAGCAGCGAAAGCAGTTACACTAGCTCTCATGAATCAACTTCGCCAACTTGTGCGATGACAAGTGGCAGAGATTTGAACAATATGCAACGAAGAAAGGCTTTACAGCGGTGACAGCAACACATCCTCAAGTGGCGGAATACTTATGTCATCTACGACAGACGAGACACTTAAAAGGTTCAACACTCTCAACTTACTTAGCTGCCTTCAGTACAGTTATCACCATGAAACGGGTATCAAGCTGAGCCGAAGTACCAGAGATTCTGGCACTACTACGCTTGTTCAAGTTGGAAGACCAACAAAAGAAATTTAAGGCTCCTGCCTGGGATCTCAACATAGTTCTACAACATCTCACCAGTAATGCCTATGAGCCTCTAGAATGGATATCCTTTGAACTACTACTCAGAAAACGCTGTTCCTGATCGCCCTAGCAACAGCTGCAAGGATGTCAGAAATACATGCTCTGGACTTTGAACGAAAATGATTTGAATGAAGACATCGTACATCTTGGACTGAGATGGGATTTTATCGCCAAGAACCAACTGCCTGGTCAGCCTGACAGACAGTTCCACATCCCAGCACTATCTACAGTCCTTGGGCCACAGGATACGCAGGATCTATCCTTATGCCCAGTCAGAGCACTTAAAGTCTACTTACAGAGAACTAAAACAAGGAGACGAAAATTCAAACGCCTATTAATCCCCTTATCCACCGAGACACCCACGAAAGTCTCTTGGAAAACGATATCGATCTGGATGAGAGCCGTTATACTAAGGGCCTATAAAGCAGCAGGACTTGAGCCTCCACGAGCCTCCAACCCACACGAAGTCAGAGCCCTGGCGTCAACACGTGCTCTGCATGGAAACTGCTCGATTACAACTATAATGGAGGGCTTGCCTTTGGAGACCGAACACGGTGAGTTTGCCAACCACTACCTCAGAGACATTGCCACCAAAGACATCTCAGGCATTCACCAGTTTGGGCCACTTATTGTAGCACAACAACTAACGGTTCCACAAAGGCGCTGAGTAAATCTCACCCCTTTTATCACGTGACTTTTGAAAACCAACGCTCTGGAGAGCAATGGCTATAAGTCCATGCACCCGTCTAGGACAGACTAGCATGAGTGATAGACCCTGTACTTGTATAGGACATACTTGTACATGAAGAAAGGTCGCATCTCCACTTGATGCGCGCATCAAGAGATGGAGTTGCAATAGATAACTAATGGAATATTAGTATATCTAAAATCCACACGAAAATGTCATGAGAAGTTTCAGAAGAAATCTGACAAGTTGTGGTCCCCCCAGACTCATCAGAGAGAAGTTGAAAGAACAGAATCTTCAACAGTGCCGTCATAAGTTCCCAAGGGGGGTAATACAGGACGTAAATCTACAACCAGTGAATCCAGAACGTGGCCTGACCAACCACCGTTTCTGACTAAAATTGATCTTTTATACTTATCCTGACTCATGAGGTTAGCCCTCCCAACCTCCCCTCTTATGGCACTCTGGATTTCCCTGTAAATCTGGGTGTTGGGCTTACATACGGAGAGAGTGACAAATATGGCCGATCATGTGACCATTTGGGCGCCAAAAGGGAGGAAAGGGCCGCTACTCGTGGGTGAGTGATTTTACGTCCCCTTTTTTAGAAGGGAACTTCAAGGGATTTCAAGTGTTCCACTATCATTCTCAAGAGGAAGGATACAAGCATAATTAGCATGAGTCAGGATAAGTATAAAATATCAATTTTAGTCAGAAAATTACATTTTCGCTTGCTATTTTTTGTTATAAAGGCAATTGATTTTGCATCTGAAGTGGTATTAACGATCTCGGGTAAATATTATTGATGTTTGTTTGCTTTAAATATAACTTCCGGATTTCAATTGTCAATAAAACTGCTGATGAAACTACTTGTGCACTCCGATCATGCACATACTCCCCCAATATAGCGCAAATAATGTAATCATCAAAATCACCAGAATGTCGAATTCAACTCGTGTTGGGATATAATTTAAAGGTGTGACTCTCAACTGCCTGTGTCCGTCAACTGTACAGCTGATCTGATCTCAGCACAGATCGACCATCGTCTCTACCTTGGGGGATCGGAACATCTCACAGAGTACAAGGTCCGACAGGGCTATGCCCTGGCACTTATCAGGTGTGTAAAGACAGAGATCAGCTATCATTAAGAGTATCCCAGTTTCAGGCAACCAAGTTGTATGAAGTTATTTACTCACTGAATTTGATTGATGATGAGCAACTCTAGATCGCTGATGTTAAGCAATACTCACTCGTGCAAGAGGAAATTATGTACTTGTCCCTTCATTTGCAGATGTGTGAACTTCATCACTGACCACTACCAGCTGGACAGGAACAATGTGGCCGTCCCAATTCATCGCATCGGGGAGGAGGTCAGTATAGGTATTGGACTTAGCTTCCAATAATTGACAGTAGATCTTAGACAAATTTGTCATGTGATCATCAATTGGAGCAAAAGATCATTTACATTTCAAATGTGTTAAAGATGCTGCTACAAAGGGTTCAAAGTGCATTGTGTGTATTGATAGATTGGCATCCCGGAGTGGATAGTGTCCCTGCGCCATGAAGGAACTCACCGTGCGATGCCCTCCCTAGATGTCCTGTCCCGGGGAACAATGTGGGCTGTTGACTGGCTTAAGGTTAGTAGCTGCACTGTTTCTCTACTAACATCAATTGAGTGGGTACCATTACCAGACAGTTTCTAATGCAAAATATATGCAGCAATGGTACTTTATTGTTGTGGTCATATTATGTGTTCTGTTGTTTCTAAGTTACCATGGTAATGGCTGTAGTATGGAGGGTATATTTGAGTTATGTGTTCTGTTGTTTCTAAGTTACCATGGTAATGGCTGTAGTATGGAGGGTATATTTGAGTTATGTGTTCTGTTGTTTCTAAGTTACCATGGTAATGGCTGTAGTATGGAGGGTATATTTGAGTTATGTGTTCTGTTGTTTCTAAGTTACCATGGTAATGGCTGTAGTATGGAGGGTATATTTGAGTTATGTGTTCTGTTGTTTCTAAGTTACCATGGTAATGGCTGTAGTATGGAGGGTATATCTGAGTTATGTGTTCTGTTGTTTCTAAGTTACCATGGTAATGGCTGTAGTATGGAGGGTATATTTGAGTTATGTGGCTCTTACAGCAATGTTGATCTGTTATGTATACATTTTACTAACTTTATAAATAAGTGGATTTTTTCCCTGTATTCCTAGGGGCCGGTGGGGTAGCCTAAGGGTTAAAGCGTTGGCTCGTCACACCGAAGACCCGGGTTCGAATCCCCACATGGGCACAATGTGTGAAGCCCATTTCTGGTGTCCCCCGCCGTGATGTTGCTGGAATATTGCTAAAAGCGACGTAAAACCAAACTCAGTCAGTCAGTCCTGTATTCCTATGTATATCCTTTTTGATCATCAGACAATCCAATCTAAGGTCCAGTTAGTCTGGACCCCCATTGCTTGTAAAAACTTCACAGATCAAGATTCATGTATATATACCAATCAAAATGGTTTCTGTGCCTACTTTCTATGCCAGATTTCACTTGACTTTCCAACATCCTAAATCTATTGTGTGAGATAATGGCAATAAATCTTTTCAGCATAACTTCTGGGAGAGACAACTTGTTCCCTGTAGTACCTCAAGCAGAAACAGGGAGTTCAAAAGTAAGCTGACAAAATCTCTCATAAAATCGGTGTCAAACAGAATGAAGTCCTACAAGAAGATTCGTTTCCAGACCAAAGAGACGGTAAGGAGGCAGTGTGTGGATTTGATAATGGATGTATTATATGTTACATGGCTAACATAAATCATATAAGATGCTCATGTAAACAGTGTCCCACAAAACAACAGACAAGAGGGTATGGTTGGTTAGTTTGTTGTAAAACGCCACACTTAGCAATTTCCAGCTATATGGTCTGTAAATAATCGAGTCTGGACCAGACAATCCAGTGATCAACAGCATGAGCATTGATCTATGCAATTGGGATACGATGACATGTGTCAGCCAATTCAGCGAGACTGACCACCCGATCCCGTTAGTCGCCTCTTACTACGACAAGCATAGGTTCTAACCCGGATCTTCATGGGTCCAAGAAGGGTATGAGTTTAGTTGCTGATAATTAACCAGTAAAAACCATGAAGCCTTCCTTATGGAGACACAACTGAAACAAAACCACTTGTATACTTCATGATGACTTTCTGTACCTTACTCATCCGGACATTAAAACTTCCCCGAAGTCTATTGTTTTGATGATGTCATGTGATCAGTTGGTGATGTCATTTGATCGTTTGGTGATGTCATGGACAATCAATGACATTACTTCATATTGTTCTGATGATGTCATGTGATCAGTTGGTGATGTCATGTGATCAGTTGGTGATGTCACGGGCAATCAATGACATTACTTCATATTGTTCTGATGATGTCATGTGATCAGTTGGTAATGTCATGTGATCAGTTGGTGATGTCATGTGATCAGTTGGTGATGTCATGTGATCGTTTGGTGATGTCATGGACAATCAATGACATTACTTCATATTGTTCTCATGATGTCATGTGATCAGTTGGTGATGTCATGGGCAATCAAGGACATTACTTCATATTGTTCTGTGATGTTTTAACAGTGATGATGACCCGTGAAGATCCGGGATAGAATAGGTCTTCAGCAACCCATGCTTGCCACAAAAGGCAACTATGCTTGTCGTAAGAGGCGACTCACGGGATCAGGTGGTCAGACTCACTGACTTGGTTGACACATGCCATCGGTTCCCAGTTACGCAGATCAATGCTCACGCTGTTGATCACTGGATTGTCTGGTCCAGACTCGATTATTTACAGACCGCCGCCATATAGCTGGAATATTGTTGAGTGCGGCATAAAACTAAACTCACTCACTCACTGTAACAGTGATGTCATGCAAATGTGGGAATGTTATTGCTCTGTCTTCTCAAATGAGTAACACTTACACCAGTCATGCCGCATTGAGGGTAGAATATGTGACTAAATAGTGAAGACTTGGGTTTCAAGTTATTTTAGTAAAGAAAAATAATTTATAGAAAATACACGAAAACATTTGTCCTGTCGAAACATACAGTGAAACCTGCCAACACCTGCACCTGTCTAATCCGGCAGACTGTCAAAACCAGCATACAATTTTGGTCCCCGCAGTTTTACAACGATATTATGATCATTAAAACATTTTCTAATCCAGCACTTGTCTATTCTGTATTCCGGCACGACTTTCAGGTTCCAAGCAATTTTAACTGTAATTAACACTGTCTATACCGGCATGGGTATGAGCAGACCAATCAAGGACTCATAATCCAATAACACTAATTAATCCTCTTGGCATTCGAGATAATCAGGAAGTAGTGATTGCGGGGTGAATCAAACACTGTAAGCCGGCATGGGTATGAGCAGTCCAATCAAGGTCCCTTAATCCAATACACTCTTCTCGGCACGCAGATTATCAGGAATAAAGATATTGATGAGTGTAAATGGCACCCATGTTCAGAAATTATCGTCACTGTCTAATCCGGCACCCCATGGGACCGAAATAAAATGCCGGTTTAGACAGGTTTCACTGTAATCACATTACATAATCAGTGTTTTCTCAGTGTGAGTTATTTTCATATTGTTTTCATCCTTGCTGTTGTGTTCCAGTCCGAGTACCCAGTAATGATGGATGTGATGAGACAGAAGGGCAGTGAGGAACAGGCCGCACGGCTCATTATTGCGTATCAACAAATACGCTTCCAGGTAATATCCTGTTTCCTACTAGAGTCAAACTATTTCTTTTATCATTATGATTGTACTATGACCTAACACCATATGAAATATATGTTCAGGAGCTGGCTGGGAAGACATTTGATGTGAGTGACCTTCAGACAGGTGATGAAGGTCAGAAGGTATTGCAAGAGATGAAGAAACTATTGTCAGTAGCGACGTAAGTAGTTTTCTGGGTAGTCCTGTTCTATATCATGAATGATTGTTTTGTTATTATTTATTAGACCAGTTTCAAGTATTTATTTGTAGTTAGAGAGAAAAAAAATTTCCCTGAAAGTGATTAAGGATACATTTTAAAAACCTTTTCTAGAAAGAAAGATGCCATTATTGGTAATTTTGTCACTTATTTACCCAAAATGGAGAGGTAGGTGGTGGTTGGCCATCATGGTTATTTCAGTGTGTTATGTGTTTCTGCAATTAGTGTAACGTTGTGCTTCCTCCTCCCAGGGAGAGCACCCTCGTCCTGCTGCTGGAGCCTGGATGTCTGCTGCCCACAGAGGAACAGCTCACACACATGGGCATCCGTCAGACTGTAGGTTGTCTACCAGGAGAAATGCTATCTAACTTTTGTGAAAAACACGAAAACCTATTCTTCTGTTTGTCACCATTAGAATATATATAATCCTATACATTATTAACATGATCAACATTTCACAAATGATAAAACCATGGACAGATGAATCAGCATCAAAGTGTACTGTACAACTCTTCGCATTGTTTGGGTCCGAGAGCAGTGGAACCGCCTCCGTGGTGTAGTGGTTAGAGCGTCTGACCGGTCATGTCATACCAAAAGACGTTAAAATATGGTACTTGTTGGTCCCTGTCACTCAGCAACAAGCACTGGTCGGCTCGGAGTCAGTATAATGTGTCTGAGTGGGGTATACATGCTAACTGCAGCATGGTATCTCAGTGGGCTAGCACTATAAAACCAGCTCAAAGTCTGGGCTAGTACAAGCAGCCACACATATACACGCATGCACGCCATCATACGAGCGAAATATTCTTAGTACGAGGTTAAACCCCATTTCACTTCACCTCACCCAGAATAGTGGTCCCGTGGCATTGAACATTGCATATATTGTAATAAAGAAGTTGTGTTTCCATAGAACCATCGTCCTTGTTCATTGCAACAGCTTCTCAATGCCACTCATTTAAAGAAGTTAATTTGTGGTCTATTGCCAACATTGATTTACAATGTGTACACACGGTTTTAATGTACGACAAACTTTATAGATAACAACTTCTTTTAATCATGAGTGCGACGTTTCGATACAGATTCTTGTACCATTGTCAAGCAACTTCAAAAATGCCACTCAAAGGTTTTACTGATCAGATATTGCCATCCTACCATCTCCCTTCAAATGACAGATTTGACTTTCACACGAGTGTTTATCAAACAGAACCTTACCGTATACTTTAATGATGTCTTGCTTCTGTTCAGGCCCCACCAATAACAAACTAGCATGGGTTCTGGCAGTGTTCTGGCGACCTCTCCTGCTGGAAATCAACAATCTCCGTCTCACGTCAAGTTTAGTTGAACACCTCGCTTCTGATGTCTCAAGTGAGACATCACACTGGAACAGACTCGTGCATGTGTGGCTGCAGACCCTGGTCTGTCCCTACACTATATCTTGTAAGTGGTGGTGTGTATTCCTGTGCATAGAGCTCAGGTCACAAATCAGTTGTAGTTCAGCAACATTGGGCACGGAGTCCTTGGATGGGTGACTGTGTTTGGCAGCTTTATAGCTTTGAGTATGCCTTAGGGTGTGGAATAGGCGCATATAAATATGCAGTCACTGCCTGGTCAGGATCTATTGTTTCATGACTACATTGTGTGAAATAACACATGCCCAGTAGCCAATCGCTTTTCTTTCTCCGAATATATAATAATCAAAGTAGCTCTATAGGCAGTGTAGGAAAGATGTAGAAAATCTAGCCTGTCCACAGGACTGGCAGGTCAAATTTTTTACCAGTCCTGCAAAAATCTAGCCTGTCCTCCAAATAGAAATAAAACACCTTGGCAGTAAATATTCAAAAAGGTTATAATCATTATATATATATGTCATTGGTTTGCTAAAATTGACCCGACATGAGGAGGGACTAGACATTTTTTTAACCCGTCCTCCACAAAATTCACCCGTCTCGGATGTTGGGACGGGCTATCTTTCCTACACTGCTATAGGGCCCTGTTCCAATAAGCAATCAGTGCTGTAAGTTGATTGTTACGTCCTGTAGTTTAACATAGACTTTTGGCAGTTGGTAGTACTTTAGTTGCTTTGTAATTTTCATTACGTAGTTTTCCATCTAGTGAGCTATATTTTTGTCATTCATCTGCTAAGTATGAAAGTTCAACTGGGAAATGGTTAGTTTCGTATTCCAGATATGTACAGACTGTAACAATTGTTGTAAGACTTATTATGGTCTCTTGTCAGGATTCCGGCAGAAACCTGTTTGATGTTGCTTGGACTGATCTTGTTGAAACTTATAATAAGTCTTCTTCCTTTGCTGCCCGATTTCTCTGTATGTTCAGTAATGTAAAACAACAGTGTTCTACTCGCTTGTACATTTTTGTTTGTAACTATTATCCATCCAGCATGACTGGCTGGTACTGTACAGTAGTTCCCACATGGCCTGTGTGTAGGACTTACAGGAGTCGTATGTTGTTTCTTTACAGTCCCGTCAGGCAGGTCAGAGTCACTGTTCAGCCACCAGGTGGCGCTGTGTGAACTCCCACTACTACAGAAGTGTCTGCAACATCCAAACATCTACACACACGACCTGCTGACAGCGTGAGTGTTTCACATTAAGGGCACATAAATCTTCACACACGACCTGCTGACAGTGTGTCTCATACTATGGGCACATAAATCTTCACATACGACCTGCTGACAGTGTAAGTGTCTCACACTAAGGGTGCATAAATCTTCACACACGACCTGCTGACAGCGTGAGTGTCTCATACTATGGGCACATAAATCTTCACATACGACCTGCTGACAGCGTAAGTGTCTCACATTAAGGGCACATAAATCTTCACATACGACCTGCTGACAGCGTAAGTGTCTCACATTAAGGGCACATAAATCTTCACATACGACCTGCTGACAGCGTAATTGTGTCACATAAAGGGCACATAAATCTTCACACACGACCTGCTGACAGCGTGTCTCACACTATTGGCACATAAATCTACACACACGACCTGCTGACAGCGTAAGTGTCCCACATTAAGGGCGCATAAATCTTCACACACGACCTGCAAACAGTGTGTCGCCTGCTTAATATGACATATGCATCTTCACACACAATTTATTTTGTTATTTATTTAATTATTAATGAGCAAATGATAAATGTCGCTATTCAGTTGACTATCATTGAGCCTTTGTAACATGACTTGAAACATTCCCTTATTGTACACTGTCAAACAGGAACGGCTTCTACATGTACTCCCTTGTCATCACATTGTGACTGTACTTCTCCATGATCTTGTTGTTTAAGTTTATTATATACTGTATACATATATAACCCTGTTTTCTACTTGATTCATACCTGTTGGATAACAGTACAAGAATCTGTATCGAAACATTGCCTCCCCTGAATAAAGAAGTTATCTGACTCTCCAACTTCTAAAAATGCCACTCAAAGAAGATATAATGTCGGTGTTCCTGTT